TACAACCGAATAATCGGCAAGAGAGGGAGCTCATTGTAAAACATCGTGTACAAGCACGTTAATTGGGCTTAATTTGATTAAGATAAAGATAAGTGCCGCAGCGAGGAAATCACGTAAGTGGCGATCCTGTCCTCAAGGAGAGGCGCCTTATCCGACGCATCATCGATAAACCAAAAGCGCGATCGATATGCACGATAGTCTGTTCGCCACTTTGTATGCGGAGGTCCGATTAAAATACAAGCGAAAACCGGAAGACCGACCAGTTTACGCGCATTTTCTTTTCCATCTCGAGCCGCTAAACGCCGCCACTTGTCGCCAATATCTGCACGCGCTCATCTACGATCCGTCTGTCTTTCTCGCAAGCGCGCCAATATTTTGAATTAAGATAATGATGCATAATGATGCCGGCGGCCAGCGTAATTGCCCTCGCGTTATCGATGAGCACTCGCGCAAGCTTAATATCGCGTTGCCGATAGCGACGTCGTGTAGACTGGTTGACAAATTTTTTGTCGATCGCGACAACTACCGCGCGAGCGAGACCAGTTTCCCTCTTTCACGAGTGAGCTGGTATAATCTCAAGTCGCCACCAGACGTCATACGTTTTCTTTCTGTTGATAAATTTATTATATAGCGTAGTTTCTATTCGTGTGTCTCTCCTCTTTCTGGTGTTTTCGTTGCGTCGGCAAACGAGCTATTTTTCGGAGGCCCCGTAAACGCGTCAACCGAGTTTAAGTTTTTCGCATTGTAGGTCATCACCTTGAGGGACGAAAAATAGACGGAGCTATTGAGCTCGTCGTTACGACGAGGAGTGACATTGCCGCACATAAGGCGCGAGCGTAAGCTTTACGGCCATGCTAATTTATTAAGCAAATTCATTTTGAACGTACGCTGAAAGGTGATTTTAAAATACGACCGCGTTTATGGGTTGTTTAATATCATCTGCTACGCGCGCTCGCGTTTGTTCTGCTTCTTTCGCCGGTTCGCTCTTGGCTTTCATGTCAATTATTTCTAACGAGGCTTATTTTTCTTATTTTTTATAGCTGACGTGCTGATTCGACGAAATCTAAGTATGTTCAATCGCCGCGATCGTCTTCGAAACTTATCAATTTATTATATTTGAGTAAAGTGCCGACGAGGCAATGTACGGCACTATAAACTGCTATACCCTTAAAGACTGAAATCCCGGATCTGCAGAATAAATCAGCGAGTTCTTTTTCAGAACATGGTAAACATTCCAAAACTCACGCGATGAGCTATCGCGGCAATAAATCAAGCTTCTCGCATCATTATTAATTGAGAAGCATCAGCAAGAAACTGTCGCCTCCTCGTTTAATAGCCATGGCGTGGAGATCGCGTCGCGGAAAATGCAAACACACCGCGCGGTGCGAGCTTTCTCGGAAACAAATTGCCTTGCAGGGTGATAAAACGCTTAGATGCCTTCTGGCCTTTAATAAAAACTCAAGAGCTTCTTGGTTTGGCCGCGCGGCGACATCCAAGGCGGCACGCTGCTGAATGAGTTATTATAGCCAACTCACTCATAAAGTACGCGATGATAAAGGAAGCAACAAAAATTATTTTTGCGGCCATTATATAGCAGTGTGTACGCGAAGCTAACGTTCGTAATTTGTTTTTTTCAACCGCGGAGAATATTATAAGTTTATTATTATTACGCGATATTCGCAGATTACGTGAAACAGCTATCTAGTGCCGTACGCAGCAGTCGCGATATCCCTCTACTGGTGAAGATAATAAATATGAAATGCACCTCGCAGAGTTATTTCAATATTTAGAAAATGAAAAATCGACGATTTATTCGATATTACGCTTGATAACTATTTCATACGCAGTGCTTATTTTTTTCAATATCCCATGGGATTTTCTGACTAATTGCTACGAAAAGAAAAAAAAAAAGTGATTTCCAGGGTTGGGATTCCTACTGAAATACGTAATCCGCTCTGCAAAAATGTCATCTCGACACGTTTGCAACTTACTCGTGCAATTAATCGAGATGTATAATAGTCGGCGAAAATGATTAAAGATTAATTGCGATCCAAGGTAACGTGTGCTCGCGCACAGTGGAGAAAGGGAACGCGATGCGCGCGTAGTGCTGACTCGAGAAAAGAAATGACGGAGTGTCAGTAAGCGTAGATGAAAGCAGCGCTCGATCTGCAGAGATGGAAATTCAGCGCTCGCGCGTATGTGAGGTAATCGGCGAACGACTTTTTAAACGACGCAAATTGTTACGCTTGACGCGCATCACATAATGTAAGTTTTGTCGTGACTGCAGTCCTTTATCATCCGCGTGGATGCATGTTAAAGGCGCTTTAGAATTTCGCCTTTGTTACGTTCGATCCTCGAGCAGCACTGCGAAAGAGTACTTATTAAGGTGCCCCGGCAACGGAGTTATGAAACTCAGTGACAATTTGATAGATTGTGGGCTTTTTGTCGCGGTCGGAGTCGTTAACCGTCGAGAGGCGAGCTTCTCCCAGCCTGTCCTTATACTTATTCGTTTCTTTTTTTCTTTCTTTTTTGCTTTGTACATTACACTCTTGGAGAACGGCAAGTTTTGAGAGGAGTATGACTGTGTCTCGCCGATCGTTTCGTGATGGCGATTGGAATTTCTCGTTTTTACGGCTTCAACGAACAGAAAAAAAAGCCAAAACGTTCACGTACGCGTACGAGTTTTTGCGTTCTTCTTGGTATCAGCAATTTTTCAAATGTGGATCTTGACAATTGACATTACATTTTCCAACAGATTTAATTAATTTTTTTATAAACGTTTATGAAGATCACTTATAAAAGGATTTTCTAAAAGAGAAAGAAGTCGTCAATTGAGATACTAGTTGGAATTCGTGAATTTAATGTAAGTATTTAACGAAATCGGGATCAACATGGTACTGTAATATTTGCTCATATTAACAGCAAACATACATCCATACATCATGGCGAGAAGGGGGAGAGCGATAAAACTACACGTCGGTGGCATACGCGCTCGCGTCTCGCATAAAACGGCAAATTTCAAAGACAGATTCTTTCAATCAGTCTGTCAATCAGAGCAATCTCCCCTCTTTTCATGCTCTCGCTCGCGATGCACGTCAGCGCCGATGTACACATACGCGCGCGCACGAGTTTTTGCTGCTACCTCATGAACGATTCCGTTAGCGAGCCGTAGCTAATTTCAAACAGCAGCGGCAGTGGCTGCGACAAAAAAGTAGTCGTCCGCTCATCGTCATTAGTAGCCGTTCACCGATTATCGCGGGCGCCGCACCAACCTACATGTATATACATGGAGGTGTGACGCTCGTTTCTTCTCTTTACCCGTGCCGTGGCGTGTGTCAATGTACTGCTACGCTTTCATCGTGCGCTGGACACAACGAGAGAGAGAGAGAGAGAGAGAGAGAGAGAGCTACGCACGAGCTGATTTACCTAACTGTAACTGAGAACGCCACCGTCGATTTGAATACATTGCGCCACTCGCAGGATTGCTCGAGTTACATACTTACAGTTAGACAAACTCCATCGTCGTACAAACCACGTTGACAATCGTACAACGTAATCTTGTTTTTTTTTCCATTAATGGAAAACTGATAACTTGCGTGCCGAGAGCGAATTAATGATCCGTTACGGTTGACTTTCAATCTTCGCGCGAGACGTCACACGTATTATAAGCCGTTGACACGCTGCGTGCAGTAGGAGTATGAAGAGGAGAGTGCATTACACGAAAATGATAGCACATGTGAGGAGCGAGTGTAAAATTATACCACTCCCGCCACGCTGCTGTTTCGCATTTTCATGCTTATTACATTTCGACGATTTCCAAGCGACGAGGCGGCCTTACAATTACGTGTCGAGACTCTGCACATAAGTATCACTGTATGGCGAGACGTCAATTTACTTTTCTTAAGTGTCGTTATCATTTTTGTTTTTTCATTATTATTATTATTATTACTACTAAATTGAAGTGAATTTAAAAGTTACAGCAATCAAATGGCTTGATTGATAAAAATATTCATCGAACAATCATAGTAAAATCGTAATTTTGGCGAAAATAACGTCAGTCATTTCTTGATGAGCTTTCGAACGAATCCATGGATCATCGTTTTCCAAGATATATACCCTCTCACGTTCTATTTCGAACAGTTGGCAGCAAACGCGAGTATACGTGACTACCAACTTTTCATGCTCGCTTTCTGCGAAGTGTAACACACAATCAATGCACGAGTCCTTCAATTTTACAAAGGCTTACATGGCAACTTTGTCACGTGTGTATATGGACTGCCGGTGCCGTCACGGGCGTCGCGCCGGGAATTTCGGTTTCCACGAAGGGCGACGGAAATTGTGTGACAAAACTGTAAATTGAATATCGATCCGTCGCCTGCTCGCGCTTTAAGGACTCGTCGTGTCGTGTCGCCGGCCATTATAGGACACCGTTCTTACGTACGACCTGACACTTTTTACACTATCGTACTTTCCGCCTTTTCAAGACCATTAATAGCTTTTCTAAACGTTATAAGTAGACAAGGACTTTTGAACTATGCATTACTTTTACGAACGTGGCAGAGTTGTCGACATTCACAATGTCATTCATTTCATAATAATTCGAATCGTTAAATAAGTACATTAACATCAGAAATAATCATTTGAAGTGGCGTAAAATTGAATAATAACCCGTAATAAGGATACGACTTCTATAGAAGTTTGAATGTGCGATACAATTTGCTCGGCTGTCTTTTTCTCGGTGTGGCATATTCGTGATCCGAAGATTTCGTATACTGCGTGTCACACGCCATCCAGCAATAAAATAATAGAAAGTTGCTCGAACAACAATCTGGCGAGTGACAATAAAGTCACGAATATCTGTTATGTATCATCATTAAAGCACCATTATCCAAGGTGATTGAAACGGAATATTATTTAACGGCGTAATTTCATTTGCCTATAAATCTTTCCATTTTTTCTTTCGTGTCAAATATATTCTATGTGATTATTACATCGCTTACCGTACATATGGTTGGTATTTGACCATGAACTTTATTAGGTCGTTCCGGTATTGATTCGAATCTCTTCAAATCTAATTGTGGCCTTGTCAATGCCGGAAACTCAGTATTGTTGCAGTTGAAAGCATGATTTCCATACAACGAGTGGAATGGTGATTCTGGATGAAAGTACCATGATGGCCACTGCAACAAAGACAAAAAATTTTACTGCTCGATTAAAATTTCTCCAATGACTAAAACGATGAAAAAGGCTCGTTTAAAAAAGTCTAGCCTCGAAGAAAAAAAATCACTTCTAAAGAAAAGAAAGTCACGCCCGAAAGGCACATTCGTCGATTATCTAGCCGTTTGAGAGAATGTTGTTTGTAAGCATCTGTCACAACTGGAGGACCACAGCATCAATGAGAAAAAAAATAAGAATCTTCAAGACTGATGATATTTTTATTGTCGAAATACCAAACGCGCGCGAGTATTATTTGGCGGAGAGAGAGAGAGAGAGAGGTCGTCTTTAGAGAATGAGTCCTCATTCTCGACCCGGGATACATTGAAGGACTTTGATAAAGCCTCATTCGCTGTTGGAAAAAGCCGCGACATTAGTGTCAGCGCTTGAATGTGAATTTCTTCAAGATAGATGACGTCAGTTCACGCTGGAGTCAAGAGAGCATTAGTTGGAGAGAGAGCACGCGTGCTCACACGCGTGTGGTCCATTGTTGCACGTGGCTTTGTAAAGTGAAGGAGTTGAATAAAAATGCCGTCCTGCTTTGACGAGCTTGTTGAGAGCGTCAAACAGTTGTGATGCTTATACTCATTAATTCGTGCGTCAAGTATTTCGGCCAGCTTCAGATTCTTCAAAGTACTGTTAACTATTTCGGTTCAAGAAAGTCGTGTATCTCAACAATATTATGCATGGAATTTCTCGATTTTCTAATAAAAAGTAATCATCAACACAATAAGTCTGATCAACAAACAAATTAAGATGAGGTCGTCAAGTCGATTCTTCGAATAAATAAATTGTTTTTGAAAAGGAAAAAACACACGTATACCTTAATCGCAACTCTTCGCAGGAAATAGAATTCCTTTGAAAGTGTAAAATTAAACTAGGAAGGTTTATTTTGTTCGAGACGATTCATATCTAACATCGTGGTCGCGCCAATCTGTTGGATTTGCGGTCGACGAATATATGTGACGCTCGGTGATCTGGCAAGTGTCTCTTGTCACGGCCACTATACTACGTGGAGTCGGAATTAACATCTCTGATAGAAAAACAAACGAAACGCACGATATGCGCACGTGTCTCTTGGGCCGCTCTGCGAAAGTTGATCTTTTCTTAGATTCGCCTCTTTTTACGCAATAAAATTAAATTTTACTTCTCAACAGCCTTCAACAATTGTCGAAAATTTATTTAAACATATTTGTCGCTAAAAATTGTAAATAATCTATCATTAAGACAGAATACTTGTAAAATGACATACATGAAAAATAACTAAGATATTAATCACAATTAAAAACAAAAATTTTAAAAATATTAATCATAGTAATATGCAAGGGTGATTCACTTTGATATTCAATAAGAGAAAAAAAAGAAAGAGGCAGTCACGCACGAAGTAATCCTTTTCCCGTGAATAAGGAAATGATTGTACAGTTTTATAAGTGACACAAAGTAAGGACACTTTACGGGCAGTTATATGCCCTATCCAAGCCAATTCAAGGTTGTGTCATGTCACGATGGTGCTACATTAGTCGGGTCGATGGCGAAACACGCGTTTCACGCCTATAATACGAGCTATGTGTCCTGTATCTGCGCACGGCTGTTACAGGACAAACTGACAAAGACAATAGAAAGAATCACCTGTCACGATAACTGGCGCGCGCGTTTTAGCCTACGGAAACGGATGTGAGGTGTACGTTGCGACAATATTACATTTTTTACTCGCTCATACTTTTATTAATCGGTCAATATTTCTGCATTTTTTAATACTAGCGTTGTTTAGTAATTATGTTTTTCTCCATTTTATTCTAACCGAATCTCATACATATTTCCATTCTAATTATCCATATAAATTTATAAATTTAACTTGATACACTACTATTGAAATATAAATCTCGTGCCAGTATAATATCAGTATCAAAGTATAATAACATTCGAAACTTTACATTCTCTTTACGCATTAACTAATCACAACGCTGGATGTCGACGACTCGCCATTATTTTTAAGATAAGATTGTGCCAGCGGCATAATGACGAATCGATTATTCAATCATTTTACAATTATAAAGAAACTAGCCGTCGTAGGTCGACAGTTATGAAAGCTAAGAAAGGCCAGTAGTAGTGGTCTTGGAGCACACCAGTAATTAGGAGCGGAATGTATACACATCGAATGAGCACCTACCGCACGTGTACAGCGCAAAACGCAGGCGTAACGTAGAGCAATATAACTCGGAAGCCAAGAGAAGCCAAGACACGCGTACGTGTACGTTTAACACGGCGCCCGCGCGCGTCCGAATTGAGCTCGTATGCGCTGCACATGCGGCTTGCTTGTACGAGAGAGACAGCGAGAAGATGGGGCCTCTCTGAAATTTGGTCTCTCTGAAATCCTCCAGAGAGGCCAAGTTCGACCTATCTCGCAAATTACCTTCTTACACGTGTATATACGCAACATACGCACGGCTACACGCCTCGGACTTGAAAGACCCGCGCGGCGTATAATTGGGTCAGCGATTGGGATCTTCGTCTGTTACGCATGCCAGAAATGTTTAGGGGTAGACTTAATTAATATGATTCTGGAAAGAAATGGCACTGGAGGGAAACGCCTCACGCCGCTGCTATCCAAATAAAGATTTGATCGCCAGAAGGAAATAAGTAAGACAGTGTGTCGATTCGGTATAGCTCGCGCGTGCGCGCTGCACAAGGATGCTCGCAAACAAGTGCACGTCAACCATGTTATTATCGTCCTCTTTGCATACCACTATACGGCTAAAGGCGAGGCTCCGGCCGTCCGCGCGCTCGCCGAGACAAAAACTAAATTCCTCGCGGCTTTATACCTTCTGTAATTTTAAGATCGAGCAAGAGCCATCGGCATGATCTTGCGCCCGTCGTCGACGCGTCTCTCTTCTCTCTCTCTCGCTGTTTCGTATACGTACTCTTCGGCGTGGTCGCTCCGCACGTGCGTGGGAACCGATGCTCCACCGATAAATGTTTTTCTTTGCATTCTCGCGTCGTGTTCGCGCGTGTGCCGTGACGTGCCAAATGCTTCGAGTCCTCGGCCAAACGTACGCACTCACGCCCGTGTAAGCGACTGCCTTAATTTTCTTTTCTTTCTTGAAAGTACGATCATTAATTGCTTAGCGACTTCTTACACGCGGCTCGCCGTTGACCAAGGACATCGGAAAGTATCTCGTGCGCGACCTACAATGCAAATGCCTTCGGCTGCCGTGTCACTTGTAGCAACTTGCATTGTTTACTTGGCAATGCAGGAGAAGACGAAGATAAAAAAAAAATCACCGCCGGCTTAACGTATTTGTACGCTCGAACGCATGCATTAATGCATGGAATGGTAGCCCGTGTATATACAACCGATGCATGCCTAATGCGCTTAATAAGGGGCATAGGTTATATAGTATTGAAATGCCTCGTGCTGCTATATAATACCACTCGGAAGAATGTGACCGCATGCTACGCGCGTGCGAGATCTATAGATGGATCGATATGCCTCTGGGAATTGTTAATGCTAATGACAATTGTTTTTGTTTGTCCAGTGCGCTGTATGATTTGTTCGAGTGGTGAAGTAATTCAATGTATAACAGAATAAGCGAATAATAACGATTCAAGTTACCTTTCTCATCTGTTGTCTAAGACGCGATGAGCTTTTAAACTGAGAATACGATTTATCATACGTTATTGATATCGATATAAAGTGACGCTAGAGGGTAGCTTTTTATTTGTTGGCTTCATTGAATACTTTATTTTTGGTATTTTTTGTCACGTGGCAAAAAAGGAAGGATAAAAATACAACTCTTAAAGTCTACGATATTATTTGAGAAATGTTACCGAGGCAATACAGTGCGCTAGATGGTTGCCTTGCAGCTCTTGAACTTGTGGCATAATTTGTTTTCTTCGTAAAATAGAGAAACGCGAAAAAAGTAAACGCAGCAAGCCAAATGTTTTAATCCATTGTTGTTAGCGGTATTGAAATGTTATCTAATGAAAGAAAATACTATGATTTATAATATTGTAATACCGTCATAAAATCCATGACTGATCAATCAATTCGGGGGTCAATGAAATCTACCCGATCCGATTATGTAAATCGGTTCCAAACGGTACAGTATTGACCATCGGACTTAAAGGCTTTCTCCGCTGCGTGAATAAGACATTTATCGAAAAGCGAGCATCTCAATTATACAAATATATAGATTCGGTCGAAACTTCCTTTGAGCTTTTGTGCGACACACGCGCGTGCGCGCCGGTCGGCAGTGTTGACATTTTGGCATTTTGAACAATGGGCACAGGGATGCGGTCGCGCCCATATGCTTCCGCACATTATAACCTCGGGAATACACACACAAAGCCCATCCGAAAAAATTAGGTCGCACGGAACGCAGTTCAATATGCCCGATGGACGGTTGATCCCACCGTTCGTGCATTATAAAAGTAAACCGGTCATTTATACACCGCCGCAGGGTGTCATCTGCTATGAGAAACGCCCTTTTCCGGCGAGCGACAGAGAAAAGAGAGTAGACGTTTAATATAGCTGCGAGAGAAAAGCCGATCAATCGTCGTCCTGATGATGAGAGAGTACGAGAAAAATTGGTCACTGAAAGCGCGCGCTTTCGAGATTTCGTTCGAACGGATATCATTTGAGAGACCGGCATTGGATTGAAAAAAAAAGATAAAAAAAAAATAAAAAGCAAGCGTCTAATAAGTAGGTAGACACGCACGCGCCTCTTTCGAAACATGTCACAATCAGAGCGTTATTAAAGTGTTATTAGTGCCGTTGCGGAGATTTCTTTCGATTTTTTATTCTGGGACGCACGCACGTGTGCCCATGTAGTCAGCGATGCCACGTAGATTTTAAATCGTATAAACGATTTTTCGACCTTTAATCTCTCTTGCCGGGCAATTTTTTTTTTTTTTTCAAGTATATCAAATAACTTTAAGATCGACCAATCCATATTTGCACGAAAGA